TGGTTTTTTTGTTTTTAGATTCCACAAATGAGTGAAATCATATGGTACTTGTCTTTCCCCACCCGAGTTATTTCATTTAGCATAATACCCTCTAGGTCCATCCATGTTGTCTCAAATGGCAGGATTCCTTTCTTTTTATGGCTGAATAGTATTCCATTGTGTATATGTACCACATCTTCTTTATCTATTCATCTATTGATGGGCACTTTTGTTGCTTCCATAACTTGGCTATTGTAAGTAATACGGCAGTAAACATTGGGGTGCATATATCTTTTCAGGTCAGGGATTTTCTTTTCTTCAGGTATATTCCTAGAAGTGGAGTTACTGGGTCATATGGTATTTCTGTTTTTAGTTTTTTGAGGAACCTCCACACTGTTTTCCCCAGTGTTGGTGGCTGCACCAATTTACATTCCCACCAGCAGTGTAGGAGGTTCCCTTTTATCCACATCCTGTCCAACACTTGTTATTTCTTGTCTTTTGGATGGTGGCCATTCTAACTGGTATGACATGATATTTCATTGAGGTTTTGATTTGCGTTTCCCTGATGATTAGCTATATGGAGCATCTTTTTGTGTGCCTGTTGACCATCTGTATTTCTTCTTTGGAAAAATGTTCAGGTCCTTCGCCCATTTTTTAATCGGATTATTTGTTTTTTTGGTGTTGAGTTGTATGAGTTCTTTATATATTTTGGACGTTAATCCCTTATAGAATAAATCATTTACAAATATATTCCCCCATGCTGTAGGTTGCCTTTTTGGTGTCCTGTAGGTTCATGGTTGTCCTTTGCTGTACAGAGGCTTTTTAGTTTGATGTAGTCCCACTTGTTCCATACTGGACATGTTTGAACAAAACCAGAAGTGTAAGAGAAAATTAAAGAGTAGGACCCTGCCAGAAGACTCATCATAGAGGATTTGAGAGGTAGGGAGTCTGGTCTCCTTCCAGAAATTCGGGATCTGAGCAGTGTCATATTATGGGGTGAGACTAGGGAGAAGGCTGTCAACAAATCTGAAGGCTGTGTTTCCTATGGAAGTTACCTTTTTGTATTCAGTGAAGTCTCTGATTCAGCCATCTAAGGAGAAAACCATTTTAAATTCTAGATAAATGGAACATGGGCCCATCACTTTCACAGCCCAGGAGTAATTCAGCTTTGTGTAAGCAGACTCCTTTCAAGAGCAGTCCTTCAGGTGTTTTAACTGAGGAACTGGCAGGGTTTTTTTCCTACCCAAAGCCGCTGATCCATGGGGGGATTGGGATTAATCCATGTTACAGTCAAGTAAAATGCCAGTGAATTCAGTTTTTCTAGGAAGAAATGTAAAATGATAAAGGGACCTGCTGTAAATGTTGCAAAAGGGAGCATTACATTGGGAAGTATGAACACAAATTGTGGGAGTGGGAGAGCTTAGAGAAACCAAACCCAGGCCTTGGTTGTGGGGGAGCTCCCTTTAGCCTCTAGTGAGATTTTTCAATAAAGAGAACTTGGCTTCCAGACTCTGTGCTGCTCGAGCAATTGGAGAGACGCTGCTGTCGGGCAGAGCCAAGACCTGCAGGCGAGGGAGGCTGGCGTGGGCTCAGGCTAAGAACGAATATTCTGAGAACCCGAAATTTAAAACAAAATGGGCTGTCATGGAAAGTTAATACCCATCACTGAAGTTACTGAAGTCAAGGCCATGTGGCCCCTGCTGGAAGCGTCTTAGACAGGATTCCTTGTGCAAGAGAGTGTATGGACCACCTCAGGAAGCACTCCAGCTATTGCTGTGGGCAGATCTATGAGTTGTTGGCTTATTGCCCCTTTTGGTAGATAGTGGACAGTGACTTCATTCACTGACCACACATTGCCTTCCTAGAGTCAGTCAGGTGCTATGGATTCCATCAGTAAGAACTCGAGCTGCTCCTAGGAGTCAGACATGGTGCCCAGGATGCAGCAGTGAGCAAGCATCCTATCTATAGGGCAATGCTTCTTGAGCATCATAACTACCCATCTCATAAAGCTGTCAATGTAACAGAAGCCTGACTAAAAGGCTACTTTCTAGGGTCCATGCTTTAAGTTTCCTATTCTGAGGGTCTGGGTGGGCCTGAAAGTATGTGTTCCTAACAGGATCCAAGGGCAGGCCCACGGACCACATTGGGAGCACCACTAGTTTGGGGCAATGATCTCAACTGTGAGTGACCTCTCACCCCAAGCTCAGGAACATTTGGCAAAGTTGTGACATTTATGATTGTCACAACTGAGGGTCAGGAGTGCTACTGGCATCTAATGGGTAGAAGCTAGGGAATACCACCCAGTATCCTAAGACACACGTGGCAGCCCCTGCAACAGAGAATTGACCCAAATAGTAGTGCCCAGGCTTGAAATCCCCTGTCTAGGGAAAAAACACAGAAAATCAAGTATTTGTAATAGGCTATATGACACATGTTGTGGTAGATTGTGATAAGGGCAGTTTATGGTGCTACAGCTAACTTCATGTAGGCCGTCAGTTAGGGCCACTGAGGCGCACGAGACAGACCCTGCTCACAGGGGTATCAGGCACACAGTAGGACCATTTGCTATTCTGATGTGGAATAAAACAAGTGGATGGAGAAAGGAGGCTCCTGGGGGGCAGGGGTGGAATTCCACAGCAAGTTACACTGACAGCTTTATGAAATGGGTGGGGTTTTGCCAGGAGCATTCTAGCCTCAGAACATAATCCGCAGAGAGAGCACAGGTTGGCAGGTGTGCCTGGAACATAGACCCTGAGGAGCTGGAGACGTGCCATGTCCCCAGATCAGCAAGGCCTTCTCAGAAGGGTCCCCTTTATCTTGTAGGCAACAGAAGGGATTTGAAAGGCTTAAAACAAGAGTGTGGGTTGTGTTTTATGAGACAACAGAATCCAAACTGATGGTGCTTTCCTGTTATCAGTTGGCCTCACGAAAAGCCTTAAAGTGCCTCGCTATATAGCCAAATAAAACTTCTTTGTACTGTATCAATGCTGCCTCCTTGTATGTTAAGGCTGGATTTTTTGATACACAGAGATTCCGAGAAAAAGCCAAAAAGGTCAGAAAATGTTGGCCAGTTTCTGCTTGACATCCAGATCTCTTCTGCTCCTGTTTGTGAATGAGGACATTTTCCCAGCCAGCCAGCTGGTCCCTCGGGCGGCCTGGTAATGCCAGGCTGGGCACATGGGGGTTAGTCCCACTCTCAGGCTGGAGGAAGCCCAGGGGACTCAGCTGGTTGCAGACCCTTGTCATCTTGAGAAGATTCTCCACCTACATGTAAGAAGTTCAAGGTTGGGAGCACCTCCTGCCCCAGACCTCCCGGCTGTCCCTGGACCGGAGCTCCCATCCTGGGGCTTTGCTGACTGGTTCTTAAGGAGTCACAGGCCTTTTTTTGTATCACTTCATTCAGGATCTGTATCCCTCACACACACCCCAAATGCACTTTAATGTTGGCTGTAGTTCGTCTCTCCCCAAGGCTTTAATTGTTGGTTTCCTGATCAAGCAGTTTAATGAGAACCAAGGTGTTTTCTTTCCACTGCATAATGAACTTGGCACGCTTTTGAGACAAGATGGCAACCAGCCATCCCTTGACGACGGCATCAAACCCCATCGGAAATCCATCTCCCTCAAACCTGGGGCCGTTTTCCTGGCTCCTGTGCAACAACCATTTATGGGATGCGTTCTGTTGTAGAACCCGGCCTCTATACAGAGTAGGGTATTTTTTACCTGTAGTTTTTAATATGATTTCTAATTACATACACATAGTTGAGAAAATATAAATGCTATATGAAAAACTGTACAATGAAAAGTAAGACTTCCTCCCTCCCAACCCAGATTTTTCTTCTTAGAACTGTTCAGACTATAGTTGGTCTCTTGTGTGTCTTCCAGAGATATGGTTTGCATTTACAAGCATATTTCTGTAATTTTTAATGCAAATGGCCAGGTATTTCCATATAATTTTTCCATCTCGCCATTTCATAGAGGAGGTTATTGAGACTGAGAATAAGGAATTTGCTCAAAGTCATGGAGTGAATGGCAGAGCTGGAATTTAGACCAAGAGTTTTGGTTTTAGGTGGAATAGAACCAAGGTTCATAGGGACCCCAGGCAAGCTAGCGGTTTGGTCCTTCAAGCCGGCTCTTTGCTCTACTTCAAACCTCTGTCTTTTGAAAATGTCTCCTGACCATCTATGCAGAAGAAGATGTGAGGTTCTCACAAAAGAAGCAGAGAGAGGAGCACCACAGGTGGCCTTCCCCCTCCTCCTAAGCAGTTCAGCTCGGACCCTCAGATTGCAGATGACATCCACCTGACAGGAAGTGGCCAGACCCTCTGTCCTCAGAGGCGGCCTGGGGACCATGAGTGACTGCTCGTGCTCAGCCCAAGCTCGCATTCCTAGTGACGTTTTGGCTTCCTGTTGATGCTTGAGTCTCCGTGCAGGTTGAAAACCCCACCTGGCCTGTGCCTTTACCTGCCCCATGACTGGAGGCTGCTAGCCCTCGGTCTGAGTCCTGCACCCTTCAGAGCTATTGTTCTGTTTGCTGAGCAGACAGCTTAAGCCACTGGATGTTCTGAGAGCCTGGGCTCCTGTCCCAGACGCTTGGAGATAGATCCTTAAAGCAGCCTGGCATTCCCGTCCCCCTGTTGTGGCAGCAGCTGTAACTGCTGGGGTCACTCTGCAGCCAGGCACAGGACTTACCCTTGCAGAGGGAGCTCTCAGCACAACTTGTTAGAGCGCCCATTGGGTGACTGGCAGGTTGGGAAGAAGGAACCTGCCCTGTGGGGACTCTGATGAGATGTCTTTGTGGCCAGGGTTCTCCTTGATATGAGACGTGTGTAACATGTAGAGGGTGCTGTCCATCCAGAAATGCAGGGCTAACACCCTCACCCAGAGGGAAATGCTGACAGCTGACCAAACTCCATTTTTAAATTGTGGCTATTTGAGGGACATACTTAGAGTTTAGTTCCCAGTGCTAACAAGACTGAGTGGTATTACGTGACTTTTATATCTGTCATTTCTCTTAATTGACAGGTAACAAAGAGGGGACGCATTCTACAGTCTGGGTGCTGCTGAGCATCCTCCTGGGAGCGGTGGCCATGCTGTGCAAAGAGCAAGGGATCACTGTGCTGGTAAGACCCAAGCCACGGGCAAGCCTGCTCTTTACACACACCTTCCTTTCCCTGCAATAGGGGCACCTTGGCTGGCCCTGCCTGTCGCCTTCTCTACTTCTGTACCCCATTGGCAGCCTACTGTCGTATACCTTTCTCCCACTCTCAGTGCATCCTGGTGTTTCAGATGGAAATTGACTGTCTCAGTTGATTACTATTAGCAACTGATGGGAAATGGTGAGTGGAAAGTTCTTAAAGATCAGTGGTTGCTTTCTTGGAGAATGCTACAGAAAAAGAGAAAAGAATGGTTTACATTATCTGGGAACTCTCATATTTCTACAGTCCTAAATGCAACAGTGGACTGACCCCATCAGTGCTGCTGGTTGAGTGTGTGTTATGTTACACTTGGCTTCACCTGGAAATGTCTAAGAGGAGAGAAGGGGGCTTCTGGAGAGTGCAGGCGTACACCTCCTAGGTCTGGTCTGAGCTGAAGCCCCAGGAATGGAGAGACTTTGAAATCCGCTTTCCTTTTTCTCCATTCTAGCCAATTTTACATCTTACATTATTAGAGGGAAACTTAGGAATTAGGGAAACAGAGGTAGAGAAATGGATAACAAACAGATGGGATTTGAATAGCCCATATAGGAACAGCTTGAGAAAGAATGAGCAGTCAGAGCTCTTTGAGGTTTGATGTAAGGCAAAGATCCGAGTTTTTATTGGGTTTGATCTGTAAGATTAAGGTTAACTAGCTAGAAAATGGTATAAAAAGAACTACTGTGCAAAGATACTTGAATTTCTTGAGTTAACCTTTTTAAAGCTAAATCAGTGTTCTCAGCCTTGGTGTTACTGACATTTTAGGCTGCATCCTTCTTTCTTATGGGGACTGTCCTGTGCCTTATAGGGTGTTTAGCAGCATACATCACCTCTACCCACTAAGTGCCAGTAGGACCCCCTCAGTTGTGACAACCTAAAATGTCTCTAGACATTGTCAAGTATCTCCCAGGGGGCAAAATCATCCTATTGAGAGTCAGTGATCTAAACCCTTGCTTCTCAAAGTGTGATTTAAGGACCAGTGGCCTTGAAACCATCTGAGAGCATATTAGAAATTTAGGACCTCAAACCTCAACCCAGGCCTGCTGAGTCAAAATTCAATGAGGTCCCAAGGTGACCTCCATTAACATTTTAGAAACACCAAAGAATAGTTTGAATTTATGTATATAAAGATATGGTAAAATTTAGCTGTTTTCAAAAATTTGATTACAATGTGGACATTCTGATGATGCATTTAAATGGGAAGGAGAGGGAGCGCCACACCTGTGTTTGGCTCAGTCCTCGTGAGAGCATGACACCTTGGTGACTGTCCTGTAGGTCCCAGACAGAAGAAGGAGACAGCACTTCATGCAAAGGGAGGGTCTGCCCTTAGAAAATTTCACACCCAGGCAGAAATGGGCTGTGACCCACTGCAATCACGTATCACGTGGGTGAACAACATCAGGACTTGGAAATGATTAGCCCAGCACTGGCCTGTGTATTGGATAATTAATGGCCCCCGGCATTTATGGGAGAGGGTTAAATAGAGATGTCATCCTTGCTTATGAAAACCATGAAAACCACTGGCTTTTAATGACTTATTATCTTCTTCACCACAAAGCTCCATTTTAAGAAGACCCAAGTCATTTAGGGACAGCTTTAACCATATACACCACATGTATTCCAAACGCTTTACCCGGAGCGGGCAGGGAGCTCTGCCAGGTGACCTTGTCTGTCTAAAGAAAGTCTGTCAGGGGTGGAGAATAGGATCCAGGCTCATCCAGCCCTCAGCCTGTAACTGAGGCTAAATAAAATAGCTGCAAAAGCAGCCCTCACCTGCTGGAAAGATGCTATCCCGGTTCTGCCAGAGGCATTAGCATAGGCAGAGCTGCAGTATCACACTCCCCAGAACCCAGTGACTTATTTATTGTTCACCTGGCAGTGGTGAGCAGGGCTTCACACTGGCAGAAGTGGCCGTCCTCCACGCAGTGGACCCAGGCTGGTGGGAGCTCTGCCATCTTCAGTGTGTGGCTTCCGCAGTCACTCTGATCACCTCCATCGTCTCCATCACAGCCAGCTGGGGAGGACGCTGAGTGGTGGGCCGTGCCTGGGTTCACAGCCAGACCTCCAAAATGGTGCATTATTGCTCTACCCATGTGCCGGAGGCTGGAACTCGGCCTTAACTGCAGGGTTGGCTGGGAAATGCAGTCTGGCTGTGTGCCCAGCAAGAACAGAAAAGCAGTGGACAGCTAGGCGTCTGAACCTGCCAGAGCGCCACCAGCAATCATTACATGTGCTCTGGCTCCTTCTGCTGCTATACTTGCTGAAATCAGTCAGCACCCGGGGTCCTGGAGGGGTGACTGATTACTCACATGGCTGGGCTTTTTACATGGATAGCTGCCTTTATTTTCTTAGGCATAATTGCTGCACAGGTAACCACTCTTTTCACGTCAACTAAGGGACTATTTTATAGTAAAGAAATAAAAGGGAAGAGGGACCTCTGCAGAACTTCTGGGAACACAAATTTCTAGCTATCCCAAATCGCATAGTCCTCTTATATGCAGACTATGAAATAATGACTAACATAATAAATAAACACTATTTTATTATGAAATAATAATGACCAATTTATTACCTATGACTAGGTAATAAATCTGATATATTTCCATGACCTAATTTTGTAGGAACGACAGGGGGGTGTTTGTTTTAGAGCTGAAGAGATCCTCCGTGATTATCTTACCCACTGCATTCCTTGTCCAGATTCAGTAATGAAATGGTGAAGTGTAATTGCTACCTAACCAGAGTTAGGCTCCCTGCCATTGACATCGCTTTGCTTCCATAGGGCTTGAACGCAGTCTTTGACGTCTTGGTGACAGGCAAATTGAATGTCCTGGATCTTGTCCAGAAGGTACTACACAAGGACAAGTCATTAGAGGTGAGTCTGTCCTTTTGTCTCCAGCCCAGACTTGGAAATTGTCAAGTGCCAGCTGATTTAAAATGCCATTTTTCAAAGTATTTCTTGCGATTTTGAATTCTAAAACAGCCAGCCCTTTAAAGCACTGCATCAGTGTAGTTCAGGCAGAGTGGCTGCTCGTTTGTATCTGTCTTGGCTGTGCTTGTGTTTGAAGATCTGTGACATCAGAGGCTTTACGGTGTCCTTTCAGAACATTGGCGTGCTTAGGAATGGGGGCTTCCTCTTCAGAATGACCCTCCTGGCCTTGGGGGGTGCAGGGGTGCTCTACGTGCGCTGGAGAATCATGGGCACTGGCCCGCCGGCATTCACCGAGGTGGACAACCCCGCCTCCTTTGCCGACAGCATGTTGGTCAGGGTGAGTTCAGAACCTGCCCTCCATTGTATCATCTTCTTTGCCCACCACATTCCCAGATCTCTCATTCCTCCTCCTTTTTTCACTCCCCAGCATGCCCACAAGATGCTCAGTAAATGGAACACCTCCACTTTTGTTTGCTGTCATTTAGGATATTCTAGGATGACGCAGGGTTTTCATTAGGCCATTGAGAGGGTATAAACCCCTTGTGTTTCCATTTGAATCCAAAGTGAAGAGAAGTGGCTCCTTCTGACATCAGATTTCCTGCCAGCCTTGTTAAAGTGTCCCTAGCCCTATCATTTTTGCTGTAAAGGAAATTGACATGGTGGGGTTAAGACAAAACATAACTGTATTGGTGGTATTTTTAAAAGTCTAATGGTATCAAGACTCTTCATTGTAAATGTTTGTTTTTTCTGAAGGCAAGGGTGTCAAGCCACAAATTCTTACCTGTGTGTTTCATACAGCTAGAAATCAGGAAAACAGCCATAGAATCCTGTTCTTATGTTGTCAGGCAAATAGGTGACCCCTGTGCTTCTGATTTCCTGGGTCCCGCTTTGGGCATTACTGAGTAAATGGGATGGGACATAGTTTAACCAGAAATATAACAAACATGTAGCAGAGTCTGGAGGTTTTGCCATATTTTTCTCTATCAAAACTGAATGCATTTAATAAATTGCAAACAGCAGCCCCATGTCCAATGGCAGCATTTTATTTTGTACAACTGCGGTCCTTGAACAGAAGCATTCGGATGCTTCCAAAGTGGAGTTAGGATGTATATATACATATTTTTCAACTTCAGTATCAAATAAATGTTTGTTTTCCTTTTGACCGACAGGCCATAAACTATAATTACTACTATTCGTTGAATGCCTGGCTGCTGCTCTGCCCCTGGTGGCTGTGCTTTGATTGGTCAATGGGCTGCATCCCCCTCATTAAGTCAGCCGGCGACTGGAGGGTAATGGCGCTAGCAGCACTCTGGTTCTGCCTAATTGGCCTGATATGCCAAGCCCTGTGCTCTGAAGACAGCCACAGGAGAAGGTAAGGGGCAGTGCTGAGTTTTCACTTCCACACTGGGCTGAGTCAGAGCATTTTACTAAATCCAGCACTGATCACTTTAATGATTTTGTGGAATGACGTCTAAGGACATTTCTTTCCAGTACACGTGTACAGCTACAATGACTTCCTTCCACTTGGACTCCATCACTGGCTTCAGCCTGTGGAGCGTGAGCTTGGAGGAGGGGGTGTGGGTGACTGCTGTGTCTCCCCCTCCTCCTTTCCCCAAGAAGTTGCATTGTGAGATCCTTTTCACTGTAGGTGGTCAAGAGTAATTTATGGTAGAACAGAGAGGGTAATTGATGGGTATTGTGTCCATTATTTCACACTTCTCCTTCAGAAACCTCTGGCAGATGCTATAATGATTCCTTCTGTTGTCATTTGGTACAAAATAAACTGCTGCCCCAAAGAGACGGTTCTTTATTGCCAAAAAGAAAAAAAAAGGTTGCTGAGAAAATAATTGGGGGAAAAACAAATGTGTTTCATGAGAAAGAAAATTATTTAAGATGATTCTTAAAGCATAGGTGTTTATGGAATTAGATCAGTAATTTCTCAAAGTAAATAAAGTTTTAAGTTTATCTGGGTCTTAAATGGTTCATAATCCTAAAGGGCAACAAAGTTTGGCCCCAGTTCACTTATACATGTGCAATAAGATACACTTTTTTTGTAATACTGTAGTGCAGGGTCCAGGAAGGGACCACCAGATCTGGCTCAGCTTCTTGATCCACCATGTGTGTCATACAGGATGTTGGAAATGCTGACTAGTTCCTGAAGTGTTTCATTGCTCAGCTTTCTTCTTGCCTGACTAAATGTGTGGTGAGGTGGCACCCAGAAATGATACTAGATGGTTCCTGATTTCATAAAGTTTAAACCAGTTACCTATTATTATTCCTGTTAAGTTTAGAGGGGAGACTTTTCTTTTCCCCATGATGTCCACGGATGTATTCAATGCCCACATGGTTTGAGGTAGAGTGAGGAATAGGTGAATTAATAAGACCTCACAATTTTAACCTCACTTATATGAATGGAGACTCGTATGTTTTATCCCAAGGCCTGCTGCTGAGTGCCTTAGGAGGGGTTTTATGCCTTACCTAATACTGCTGGGCTACACCCTCTCTACTGAAGACATTTCTTCGCTGCCGCTGATACCTTTTCTCAGTTGATAACAAGAAAGAAAGGCCTTTATCACTAATCTAATGTTGAGTAGAACGTTTTTCTTGAGCAGTCTGAGAAAAGCCATTTCAAGTGCTTCTCATTTTCCAGGATCCTTACACTAGGCCTGGGATTTCTCATTATCCCATTTCTTCCTGCAAGTAACTTGTTCTTCCGAGTGGGCTTTGTGGTTGCAGAGAGAGTCCTCTACCTCCCCAGTGCTGGGTACTGCATGCTGCTGACTTTTGGATTCGGAGTGCTCAGTAAACATACTAAGAAAAAGGTATTGGCCAAGCGTGGTGCCACTGATGACCAAGTTGATTGGATGCATTTTGCTAAAGACATTTACCGTATCTCTCTATTCCTAAGAAACTAATCGCTGCTGTCGTACTGGGAATTTTATTTGTAAACATGCTGAGATGCATGATTCGCAGTGGTGAGTGGCGGAATGAAGAACAGCTTTTTAGAAGTGCCCTGCCTGTGTGTCCTCTCAACGCCAAGGTACGTTGGCTGCCAACTTGGCCTTACAAAGACATTACTAGGATACGTTCTGAGTTCAACAGCTGAGTAAGAAAATGGTTTACCATCATACCAACTCTAGCATAGGACCATGACCGAATACTTGGGTGTTTCTGTTTTTTCATTCATGATTTTGCTGAAATTTATTGAAATTCCACTTAGACAAAATAATTCAGAAGCAATCATCCAATCCAGATAACGTCAGTGCAGCAGCAGGTTACTTAAACGAGATTTTACTTGTCACCCAGTTGGCCCAATCACCCTTTGAAGGGGTGGCGGGGAGGCAACACCACACATCCAGCCTGGGTTCTGCAGAGGTGCCTGGTGGAACCATCTAGACTAGCACACTTCTCAAAACACGTGCTCTGCCCACAGCGTTAACTAGCCTGCTGTGGTCCCTAACTGGAAGGTGATACCCGTGCACTGACGGGTTTATTTCAGGAAGTCTGAGTTAGTTTATTTCAGGAAGTCTGAGCTACGCTGTGTGGTGTGCACTAGTTCACATTTCCATCACCTGTGATTTCTCTGTCACTTTAGGTAGAAATACATATATAGACTTTAAAGTTGGCAGCTATTCTGCAGAAGCTGTCTGGTAGGGATTTGCCTCCGTTCCGTGCTGGTGAATCCAGTCTCTTCACTTAGCAGGCTGGGCCCCTTCGGGTGAGACTAAACTGTTTTGGACTTTCAGTGCCCTTATCTCTAAGGGGGATAATGATTGTCCTGGGTTTGTTGGGAGGCCCTAATGAAACATGGCATCTGAAATGCCCTACCGTGGTAGCTAGAACATAATAGGTGCTCAAATGTTAGTTTTGGGGGGCTTTGTCACGCTAAATGACAAAAAGGGAGTGCTGTTTGCTCAAAATGAGAGGCCTAGGGGTTAGTTAGAAGACTTTTCTGCTGGTCCATATTATGGTTATTAAATGATGATACATTTTCTCTTGGCTCATCAGAATCGGAGCTTCCTAAGATGCTTGATTATGATCCTCTGGACAGGGTCGGAGAGCTTTCTGGAGTTCTGCCTCATTTCTACATTTTCATTTAAAAGAGAGGTGGTTTCAGGCAAAATGATATGAATAAATCTAGTGAATGGCCAACGGATTATTGTGAGCATGTGTTGAAGAGTAGTGTAAAAGGTGCTGAATCCTTGTTTGCCTTTTTGTTACATTAAAAAAACGTTCCTCATGTTTTACAGTTAAGAGACTTAGATACAAGAATAAATTACTTCAAGCTTTTATCATTAATTTAACTTGCTGGCCAATCCATTTATTTTATGCTACTAAAAATAATTTGCCTGTGATTTAATTTCATGGATGTTAATAGATCTGCTCTACTTTTACTTTTCTATTTGATTAGCAGTAATTACCCTTTCTATTTATATATTTGTTTCCCACAAGGACCTCAGATTTCCTTGTAGAGGCTCTATAATTAATCTCCATTATCCTTCCTTTAAAGTTTTTAGAGGGAGGATATTATTTTTCATTTTTCCAAGTGGGAGAAACAGGTATAAAACTATGGAACTGACATGATCTAGGTCAGTAATTTAGGTGGCTGGTAGAGACCTGGTGTGGTATGGTGCTAGGGGGGCCAGGGCAGGGGAGGGGGCATGTGTGCTGTCGACGGCCATGTATCTGCCCTAGTCAGTGATTTCCTATGTCGGAGGCCAGAGAACAGTGAGTGCACGTGTGGGCATGCACAAGATCATACGTCTGTGTGTGTGCTTTTCTGTTTTAATTTGAGATGTACATACAAAATCTAGTCTTCAAAGCGGGCCTGGTAGTGATAGTCCTTTCTGAGAACTGAATTCAGTGATACTGTTCATTAATTCAGTACAAGCAAGATTTTTTTTTTTTACTTTCCACAATAAATTGCAGTGTAAAAAAAATGTGGGTTTTTTTTGCCAAAAAGCAAGGTTGATTTCAGGGAAGAGATCTCATTTAGGAAGACTCGGGTTTTGTGGAACTCTGTTGCAGAAGATACATTTTCTGTACTGGTTTCCACTTCATAGTCACTGAATATTAAGTAAGCAGTTGACACCTGACTCTCAATTAGGCCCAGATTTGCAAACTGAGACTCATCTTTTCAAAAGATTTCAACATCCACAGAGGCAGTACCAGGTAGGGGGGTGCCTAGTCTCCATTTAAATTACCCACAGTGCTTTGCATATGGTAGGTGCTCAATATGAATGACTGAATTGAGCTAAATGGAAACTAAATCCCCTGGTACTTACTTTCGATGAGACACAAATTTTCTAATTATAGTTAGAAACTATAGTTAGAAAAAAAACTATAACCATTTTTGCTTTTTAGGGCTTGAAAGTATGTGGCACTTTGTATCAACTCTGTGATTACAATTCTAAATTGTTTTCACAATAAAAAAGAACATAGACCACAGTGAAGTATTTCCTTAAGGATGAGCAAGGATGGGTTATAGGATTTTTTTTTATGTTTAAAGCATTTTAAATTTAATATCAAATGTTAGCAGGAAATTTGAAACAGAGTGATATTAGCACAAATGTTAAAAGTACCTTCCATTGTTGATGCTTTTATTTTGATTTTTATTTACTTGCCATTGGGTGGCACCAGCCCTTTCTGTCTGGCCTCTGTGCTAGTTCATAGCCTCTGAGTATGCGTCACAAAAACCAGAGAGAAAGGTCAAGAATAAACAGGATTTTTTAATCCTTTTACATTTCATGGAAACAAAAAAAAAAATCACTCATTCTTTAAACACTATTTTAGGTAAACTGTTTGTGAGGGTTTTTCATTCTGTTTCATTTTTTTACAGTAGGTTATCTAGGCAGCTGTTTACTATTCAAATACTCACGTCCCTGTAATCCCTAGGATAAGGGTAAACCTGTTTACCAGCTTTTAATACGGACAGCCTTCCTTCCAGGAATGTGTCAGATTTCTAACGTCCCATGGAAGTGACTGCAGTCCGACTCTCCGGAGTGCCCCCCGACCATCTTCTGTCTCTGGCGTTCTGGGTGTCTGACACAACACCATCTATACTGCAGAGGGCAGTTGAATCCTTTGTCTGAGCTTTTCATTGAGAAAACATTTCCCTGTGACAAAAGAAAGCAGCAGGAGTCTGGTGGAGGGGGCGGGCGTCATGATGAAGTCTGAGTAGAAACTGAATTTGTATTCTGGGGACCACAAGCACGTCACTCGCAGGTCCTCCAGATTTGGTTCTTTTACAGACGGGCGTGGAGGAACACTTCCAGGCTGGAGCTGGGGAGGCGCAAAATCACACCATTTAGAGCTCACTTTTCAAACCGTGGGCTCCAGCCGTAGCATTAACTAGCCTCCTCCAAGCTGCAAGCTGTAACCTGAAGACACTCTAGCCTATGCATGGACAGTAATTTGGTTCAGGAAGTTTAAATTACACTGTGAGCTGTGCAGTAGCACATGTTGCTAGTCACCTGCGATTTTTCCTCCTGTGATTTCTTTCATCAGATTAGGTAGAAGTAAATGTATAGGCTTTAAAATTGGTAGTTAAAAAACAAATCTCTGCTTGAAGAATGTCACACTGCTCCATACCCTTCCAGAAATGCTAGGTGATTTTGAAGATGTGCTCTAATTGTAGGGTAAGATTGATAAGACAGGACATGATTGTATTTTCAGAGGGGGTTTTGAAAGTGTACCAGTGTAATGCTACTTGAATGCCTTTAAACAGTTACTGTATTTCACCATGTATTAGTGCTAAAGCTACCATAACAAAATACCCCAAGCCGGGGGGTTTCAACAACAGAAATTTATTCCTCACAGTTGTAGAGGCGGGAAGTTCCAGATCCAGCTGTCAGCAGGGTTGGTTTTTCTCTTGAGGCCTCTTTTCCCTGGCTTGCAGATGGCCACCTTCCTGTCATGTCCTCACATGGTCTGCCCTCTGTGTGTCCAGATTTCCTCTCCTTGTAAGGACACCTGTCAGATTGGATGAGGGCCACCCCAACAGTCTGATTTCAACTTGATTAACCTCTTCCAAAGTCCTGTCTCCAAATACAAGTCACATTCCAAGGTGCTGGTGGTTAGGACTTCAGCAGATGAATCTTGATGGGCACAATTCAACCCATAACACAACAAAAAACACTATTTTACTTGAGGAAAAATAATAGGTGGTCTGAATAAGTGCGTCTAGAAATTGCCTCAAGCAAACAGCCCCATCTTCATTCAGTACCCTGATAAACAGGTGTGAAAAAATGAGGAAAATACAAGCTTAGGAGCCTGGGTTCAAATCCAGCATGCCAACCTCAGGTAAGAGGCTTACCGATGCCAAAGCAACTCAGAAGGAACAGTGATAGCAGCCCCCCTCAGGAGGGAGAGTGATGGCAGGGCAGCCGTGAGAGAGGAGATGGTTCTCAGGCAGTGCCAGCCCCTACACTGGCTCACAAGACCGTCAGCACGTTACTAGCAGTCACGCTGAACACAGCTAGTTGAGTGAATTTGTGTAGCATCATCTCCCAGGAGATTGCTCTTGGTTTTATGTTGTGCTTTTGACCATCAGTAAATGCTTCTGATAATAGTCCTCCTGACTCTTCAGTTCTGCCCCCCTGGTCTCAGTTTGGGTCTTATATTATATTATATTATACTCTGAGCCCGTGTACACTTGAGAAGATGCCATGCGCCCTCCAAGTGGCCTAAGCTAAGATGACCTGAGAATTTGTGGTAGGTCTGCAGCTCTGAGGTCTCTTAATTCCAGTCTACTCTACCACCCTCTTCGGTCATTAAAAGTCCTCTCCTTATTTTTCTCTCTCCGTTTTTAATGGAGGCAAAATTCTCATCACATAAAATTTACCATTTTCGTTCTTCAAAAAATTAAAAATAGAATTCCCATGTGATCCAGCAATTTCTCTTCCAGATAGATACAAAAAGAATTGAAAGCAGGATCTCAAAGAGACATTTGAACACACATGGTTGCAGTGGCATTATTTGCAACAGCCAAAAGGTGGAAGCAACCCAAGTGTCCGTTGAAATTTGGTTGAATGAACTGTATGTGGTGCATCTGCACAATGGAATATGAGTCATCCTTAAAAAAGGAAGGAAATTCTGACACATGCTACAATGTGGATGAACCTTGAGGACATTATGCTAAGTGAAATAAGCCCGTTTTTAAAAAGACAAATAACTGTATGTGGTTACACTTCTGTGAGGTACCTAGAGTAATTAGGTTCATAGAAACAGAAAGAATGGTGGGTGCCAGAGGCTGGGGGAGGGAGGGAATACAGAGTGACTGTTTAACGGGGACAGTTTCGAATATGCAAGGTGAAAGAGTTCTAGAAGTTGATTGCACAGCGGTGTGAACATACTTAACCATACTGAGCCATATGTTAAGATGGCCACTTTTATTATAATTAAAAAATTTTCAAAACTTGCCACGTGTTTTTCAGAATGAAGCAATCCTTGTTAAGTAATGAAAAATGAACCATCTTAAGGTGAAAAACTCAATGACATTTTGTGCATTCACGTTGTGGAGGGACCCCCGCCTCCCTGCAGTTTCTCAGCTTGTAATTTGATGAGTGGCTGCAAAGGTTTTGTGGGAGCTCTTCCCATCAGCCCACTCTGGGTGATCACACTGCCCACGGCTTCACTGCCCCTGCCCCCCTGCCTGCCACGTTGGTGCCCAAGCTCAGGTGGTCACTGTGGTCTCTTCTCTTGGGCTCTCCCAGCAGCTTCCAAATCAGGTTCTGTCCCCCCAGATGAGCCTAGCCACCTGTCATGACTCCCTGAAAGCCATCACTGCCATCAGTGCCGGAAGCCGCCTTGCATTGCATTCATTCATGACGTGCTTCCCCGCTGTGACCAGTCCGTCAGCAGTATCTGTGTTTTGCTTCCACAGTGCTGCTCAGTTTCCTCTGCCTCTTAACCCCCCGTTCAGCCTGCTGTCTCTGCTCCCTGGGACTGCAGCCGCAGGCTCTCCGTGGACCCTGACATCTGTTTCTGCCCCACTCACGCATTTCCCACAGGGTGATTTATTTGATATAAACAAATATGATGATAACCCTCTGCCACCCAGGTACCCCTGGTTTTTGTTATGGGTTGAATTGTGCCCCGGAAAAGGTGTGTTCAAATCCTAACCCCTTGCACCTCTGAGTGTGACCTTATTTGAGAAGGGGCCCCTAGCATATGTCATCAAGATGTACGTTAAGGGAGTTCATATGGGTGTAGGGGCGGCCCTCCATCCTGTGTGACTGCTGTCTCTGTAAGAGAAGAGACAGCAGACACACGCAGCAGGAAGCCAGCCAAGTGAAGACAGGCAGAGATTGGAGCAACCCCGCCGTAAGCCGAGGAATGCCTGGGATTGTTGGTGCCGTCGGAAGACTGGAGAGAAGCATGACCATTTTCTCCCTCAGAGCCTCAGAAACCACCTTACTGCCCCTTGATCTTTGCCTCCAGAATTAGCAGAGAGTAAAAGTCTGTGGTCCTAAGCCTCCCAGCTCATAGGCCTTTGTTTCGGCAGCCCTAAGAAACTCTTGCGTCCACAGAGCCTGTGCCGGCCGTCTGCTGCCCCTGGGGCAAGGGTGCTTTCCGGCCTGGCCCTGGCCCCTGCTGGGCTCCTTGTAGGTGCCCAACCAGACCTATCAGGAGTCTCCCGGCCCAGGGGCCCTGCCCATCACCTGGGACCCTTACTCCAGCACAAGCCCTGACCTAGTGGCCCCCTCAGATCTCTGCTGAAGGCCCTTAGGACTGCTCTCCCCCGCCTCAAACCCAGTACCCGCCCCTGGGGACCCAACATCCTGCAGAACCCAGGCACCTTCTGGTGACACATTTACTGATGCAGCCATTCACCTGGCAGCCGGGCGTCCAGGAGGCAGGGGTCTGATGACTTTGCCCACCACTGTGTCCCTAGCTGCCAGCAGTGCCTGGGGCCCAGAAGGCCAATCATTACCTCAGGGAATGAGGGAGGGAGACCCTGATTCATGTAAAGTAGGTTTGTAACACTACAGGACAAAAAGCTGTGGTTACTGAAAATGCCCCTTCCTGTCCACATGCAGGTGGGCTTGGCATCTCAGTCCTAATGAGCTGGGGGGGATTGGGAGGGGGACTTAAAAGATATTTGTCTATATTTTCAGGTTCACTACAATGTTGGCAAAAATCTGGCAGATAAAGGCAATCAGACAGCCGCCATCAGATATTACCGGGAAGCTGTGAGGTACTGCAACATCTTATCTGGTTTATATTTATATATATGTGCCTTGTTTAAACTTTCTATGGTTAAAAACCTGTGCCCTTAAAAACCCTAAATTTAAGATATCTTTGCCAATTCCTGAGAGTTTTAGTGAAAACTACAGAGCATTAACAAAGGGCTTGGTTTGTCTCCCCATTTCAAGATTAAATCCCAAGTATGTCCATGCCATGAATAATCTTGGGAACATCCTAAAAGAAAGGAATGAGCTACAGGAAGCGGAAGGGCTGCTGTCTTTGGCTGTACAAATTCAGTAAGCATGGTTTTTATAATTACGTTAGTGGCAAAGAGATGAGCTCTTGCATTCTGGGATCTAAGCCTTTCTTTACCTTACTTATCTTTTTAAAAAATGCACCTCCAGGCCAGACTTTGCTGCTGCATGGATGAATTTAGGCATAGTTCAGAATAGCCTGAAACAGTTCGAAGCCGCCGAGCAAAGTTACCGGACAGCAATCAAACACAGAAGGAAATACCCGGATTGTTACTACAACCTCGGGCGTTTGGTAAGTGTAAGGTGCCCTGTGGCTGCAGAAGAAAAGCTTGTTTTTCCCCCTTATTTTTGATAAAACAACAGTTGTAGTACCCATTCTCACATTATACATCTTACACAGTTCTGTCACATTATCTCCAATGAAAGCAGCTTTCTGATTTCCTTATATGTAACTTTTTAAGCTCTAAGTCAAAAGCAGTTTAATTTGAAATAGCCAAGTTAAAGCCATCACAAAGGCAACAGGTTAAGCAAAGAATAAATTATAATTTTTAAAGTCCCTTGTGCCCTTATAAAACCATACTCCAAGGAACACTTTCTGATAAACATCAGTTTCTCTGTTCTTAGAACAGAAATGAAAACAGAATTTTTAAAAACCCCATAATGTGATTTCTGAACTTCCATCTTCTTCCTCCGGGGCAGCTTGCTCCATCTCCAGGTCGTGCTGAAAGGGCTTTGACATTATTTAATGGAAAGAGAAAATAATGTGTTCCTAAGTGACTTTCTTTTTTTAATGGTTGACATAATATTTATAAAGATAGGGTTGCTTTTTCTTTTTAAATAGTTTATTTCTTTATTCAAATATTAACAGCAGTAGCTAATCAATAAGTTCAATAATCTCAAAATCTGAAAACATATATTGATACATGATGACACAATAGATTCTGTCATTTCTGAAAAGTCTCTGAGGGTGCAGAGCTTAATCACTTAAAGCTCTGGTTTTTCTCAATTAAAAAAAAGAACCACACACACCAAAAAAAAAAAAAAATGGTAATGATGAGGGGTGATGGACATGGTAACTAACTGTACTGTGGTGATCATTTCACAATATATACATGGATCACATCATCATGTTGTACACCTTAAACTTACATATGTTACATGCCAGTTGTATCCCAGTAAAGCTGGGGGGGAAAAGGCTTATTTACAAATAGCAAAATTCTTTAAACAAGAATGATTATATTCTCCTTTCAGTTAACCCTCTAATTTGGTTTCAAGAAAATAAATACATGTGTTCATAATATACTTAGTTGAATTAAATTGTTAAAGGAGAACCTTTCTGCTCATTTTGGCCAACCTGGAAAAAATGTTTAGTGATGTGATTTTAAGAGAAGTGTACATAATAATTTTCCAGATTGTATCCAGCCTGGCCCCATGGGTAGGATTGCATCAAAGTCATTTTAAAGAGGTGTCTGTTTAGCCTCATTTTAAAACCCCAAAGCCTCTTGGTCTCATGGAGTCCTTGTGTTATCAAAAGCAGAGGTTCCCCAAACTGGTTGTGCATCCAAGGCATCCCCCTCCATCTTGGGTTTAGGGAATGAAAAGCTCCAGTAGAGGATCTGTATTTATAAAAACAATCCAACAAAAGTCCCTGGTGCTGCCAATACCCTGTTCTTAGCCCTGCATTTGGGAAGCAGATCGGCCTGAGCACTGAGCAGACATACTGACCAGGTCAGAGCAGGAGAGCAGCCTAGAAAACACGAACTGCTTGAAGTTTATTAAAAGTCCAGTTTTGGTTTATACCCTGATGGGCATGCATTTCGCCTGCACTGCTTTGTGTTTGGACTGGGTACCCTGACTGTGAGTTGTGGAGGCACATTTTATAAATGGAAGAAACAAGGTGGCAGGAACATGTGGCCAATGATGATGGAGTTTTTCGTCCCCCACCCACACAAGGCACTTTAAATGGGCAGGTACTGTTTCTGTTGTAAATTTTAAAGTGATGTGGTTTGCATGTTATTATTAAAATATAGAAAACATGTTTGATTTATGATGTATCCTAGGATGATACCATACAGTATACTTCAGTGTAGGAAAGAGAAATTATTTTTTCCTGGTCACAGAGGGAAGGTGACAGTAGTGTGACTGAATCCAGGCAACAGCAAATGTGTGAACAGGAACACTGATAGCGACATATTCCTGTTGTCTCCAGAGCCACTGACCTTGCATGCATTTCTGTTTTATGTTTTAAAATTCTGTGCCTTATGGTCTAGTTGCACACATTGATGTTAAAATAGCTTTCTCTGTGAAACCTGGAGATTGGAGGGGAGCTAAGACCGTTCTAGTGATAAGCTGTTGTGGAAGAGGAAAAACCTTTGTCCTCTACCTTTCTAGGTTCTCTGACTGGGGTCCCGCAAATTACACTGATCAAAGACAGATCAGCAAAAGAAAAAGTTTATTACCACATGCCTTGTGCATATATATGGGAGAAACTCAGTGATGAGTAACTCAAAGGAATGGTTAGAACTTGGGCTTATATAGCATCTTAACAAGGAATAATAAACTTGTAGAGAAGTGATAAGACAAAGGAAGAGGCTTTAGGCTTCCAAATACTGTCAGAAGGAAACATACGGAGGAAAATAATGAAGTGAGACTCGTTTGTGTCGGTCCTTCTTCTGTGTGGCCATAAAACTTCCCCTGGAAAGGGGATTTATGGCAGTTGTCATTTCTCTTTTTCTGCTTTTAGTCCAATAAGGGGAGCTCCAGAAAAGCTGCTTTCTGCCTCTGTTGAATCTCAGCTGCCTTCAGTGCAATAATCCCTATGCCAAAATGGTATTCTTGGGGTGGCATGTTATAATCTTTTACATTGCTCTCTGGGTGGGGGGGCAGTAAGACAGTGAAACTTCACCATGATGATACAAATAGAGACCAAAAAAATTCAGTCACACACAAAGTAGGGTGGATCCTTGCAAAGTTAGTGAAGTAAGAATGGGGGTGGGAGCAAACTGAGAATTATCTGAATGCTTGCATTAGGGTCAGTGTTTCTATTTACTACGCCTGTCACACTAGCACTTGGGTGACATATTCTGCTTGATATCCTTGTGACTTCTTTCTTTTTCAAAGAGAAAAGGAGGTAGCTTTTTAAGTTATTGTTTGCAAGGTGGATATATCTGCCTACAGCTTTCTGGGCTTTTTATCCTTCAAGGATCTAACACTTGGCGGTCTTCTTCCTTCCCTAGTAGCTTCCTGTCGCTGCAATTCCTTGGGGTTCGGAAAATGAGAATTTATGCTAAATAAGCTCTCTGGAAGAGTTATATCCGAAGAAGGGAAGACAGAATATAAAATACAGTATTTTATCATGTGCTCCAGTCCTTGAAATTCATTCCCACTTCCCTGTAGATTGACTGACGTAGTCAGCACACCGAGGCCTTGCAGCGCTCTTTCTATGGATTGTTTACTAATTATACTGCCGTGAAATGATCGTCCTGTGCTCCCTTCTGCCGACTCTTCTTGCTTATTTAAAAGATTTTGCTCTCCATTGTTGTTTAGTTACCCAGCTTTTGCCTGCTTGACAGCTTAAGAGCATTAAGAGCTGTATCTTTAACAGCTCAACCAACACATTTATACATTGGCAAATGAGAGGAGCTTTTAATAACTTAGAAGTTTGGTGTGTGTGTTTTTTTTTAATCCTCCTTAGCTACTCTTTAGTAATGGGAGACAGAAATGTGTTTTGATTTCTGAGCCCAGATAAGAAGGGAATATAATGCAGTTCTCTTGTGAAATAGGAAATCGAGAAGAGCCCTCAAATACAGGAAATGTATTTGAGACATATTATTGATATTGGAGAATTAGAGTGATAGTCCTGGAGATAGTACTAGAGACAATTCATCATCCGTTATTGGTATCAGTCAGGATCCTTTCAGGAAAACAGAAATCATGCTAAGTTTTTTAAATAGAGAAGATTCAGTACAGGCAATTGGTTGGTTATTGGAAGGCTGGAAGCAAAAATGGAAAAGTGGTATCAATTCGGAGAATAAAGGGAAACCCTGTAATAGGTTGCGAAAACAAACAGGAAGTGGTACCATCAGAATTGAAGAGCTCAGAGAAGGGGTCAGCATCTCAGGTGGTACCATAACCTCAAGAGCTGAGGTCATGAAGGAAGGACCCCTGCTCCCAGCCCCGGGACTGTGGAGGATGGGACGCAGCCGCCTCAGAGACACTGCCAGCAAGTGGAAGGAGAGAGTGGGAGGTTGTGGGAAGGGCTGCTCCCCACCCACCGATGGTCACCTGTGACTCAGCAGGAACCTAACCAGGAACCAAGTGGCAAAGAACCCTGGGAAATGTAGTTTGCGGAGTAGAGAAGGCCGGATGTAGGGCTAGGAGGTAAATAACGTGCCCATTACCTGTCTGCTTTCTGGAGGGGCAGTTCTTGCTAACTCACCGTTCTCTCTGCTTCCTTTAAAGAGCTTGTTCACACTGTAGAGATGCTATGAGAAACGTAGAGGCCGAGACAAAATAAATTTTACCTGATTCATTCTATTGTTATTTTTCAATAAATGGTAATAATAATAATGGTAATAAATAATAAAGTATATGAAGAATTTAGTTGTTGTTTAAATGAAGTTACTTTGGTTTTCCTGGGAGCGTTAGAAAGAATGTCTCCACAGATTTTGTTCAAGTGACTCAAATGCATGTCACTTGCTAGAGAGAATTGATAAATCAATGAAATATCAAACATAGATAATTAAGTGTTGCTATAATTGAGCAGCCTACATTATTTTAAGATTTTTGAGCTTTTCGTGTCACTTTCTTATTTAAGGGATAAAATACTGTAACTTAAGTTTCTGAGTCTCATGGGAAATTCTGACATCTTTAGCAAATGGATATTCTTAAGTTTCTTAATTCATTAAGCCTTTCTTTTTCTTATATAACATGCCCCCTGTTTGCTCTGTGGGTCACAGGGCAAGTCAAAATGTTTCTGTTGTCTAGTGAAATGTAGACTTAACAGTAAGTAAGTCAATAGCCTTAAACTGATACATTGTTACCATTTGTACTTTTTGCCAAGTTAAAGAAACCAAGTTCATTCAGATGAGATGTGCATTTGAACCAAGTTAAAGAAGGCAAGGGGGTCACCTACTAAAAAATTCATCACTTTCTCCCTCGACATGCTTTTATTAACTGCAGATTGAGAACCAGCCATTTTGTATTCCATCACTGGTGTTAACATGCCCTCTCAAAACAAAGCAACAGGTAATTCCTTCCAAAAGGAGGTAGACAGGCTCCGAACTCCGAGGGCTTTTACATTACTGCATAGGACTTTTCCAAAGAGCTTACTGAGTATAAAAGGCACACTTACCGTTTTATAGTAAGCTTGTATGTCGGTAGGAAGAGGCTAGGAGACCATTCTTCACAAGGTGAATTTGACACAGGCAGCTTTTCGTCATATTAAATACTTTACCCTTTTAAATAACACCTTTTCAGATGTGGTACATACACACAATGAAATATTATTCAGCCATAAGAAGAAAACAAATCCTACTATTTGCAATAACATGGATGGAGCTAGAGGGTATTATGCTCAGTGCAATAAGGCAGGCAGAGAAAGACAAGTAACCAGTAATTCTACTCATGTGTGGAGTATAGCAACAAAGCAAACCTGAAGGAGCAAAACAGCAGCAGACTCACAGACTCCAAGAGGGGACTAGCGGTTACCAAAGGGAGGGGTTGGGAAGGAGGGAGAAGGGGATTAAGAGGTATTATGATTAGCACACATAATGTAGGAGGGTCATGGGAAAGGCAGTATAGCATGGAGAAGACAAGTAATGACTCTGTAGCATCTTACTACACTGATGGACACAATGGGGTACAGGAAGTACTTGATAATATGGGTGAATGTAGTAACCACAATGTTGCTCATGTGAAACCTTCATAAGATTGTATATCAATGATATCTTAAGTAAATAAATAACACATTTTCAAAGACAGACTGTGTGAAATTTTTCTAAAAAAGACCAATGATTAGGTTTTTTGCTCACCTTTCATTAGTAGTCTGACATATGATTTGACACCTGGAGTCACTAAATGATAGGTTTTACTTAAGAGCTTGTATCTGGGGAACTCGATTACCTGGTTCTGATCTGTGCTCTACCATTTCTAGACCTGTAACTTATGGCAACTTACTTAACTTTTCTCTGCCTCAGTTGGTTCATCTGTAAAATGGGGGTAGTTCTCTGCTTCATTGAGACTGAGGATTCCGTGAGTTAATATGAAAAATTAGAAGCTCAGTAATACAAGTCAGGCTTTTTTATAGTAATGTTTTAGTAATGGGAGTTAGGCTTTGTTTGGTTTCCTTAGAGAAAGTAAAAAGATCAGAATATTGATTTTTGGGGCCCATGCTTTATTCTCAGTACGCAGATCTAAATCGTCATGTGGATGCGTTGAATGCGTGGAGAAATGCGACTGTGCTGAAACCAGAGCACAGTCTGGCTTGGAACAACATGATCATACTCCTCGACAATACAGGTACAGACAGGTGAATGAGGGGAGTCAGAGGAGACTGCTCCGTGCCACAGTGCCATTGAGTAATCAGGAAATAGAGATGGCTATGCTTTTTTTCCCAAGTGTTAAAGTTTACAAAACTTTATATGGGGGTGGACATTTTACATGACAAAAATGTCTATTCTAGAAAACAGCTTCCTTTGACATTTTGGAATGTGCATGTTTGGGGAAAATGACATTTCAGTTAGATTAGTTTGAGTTATGGGGGAAGATGTATGCTAATACCTCATTTCTTCTGGGGCCTGTTATCCAGCAATGCCCATGATCTGGGTGCTCGAGGTACCCAGAGAGGAGCAAGAATGGTTCTGGGCTTATGAAATTCTAGGTCCTAGTGCTCTAAAGGTCACGGCTGTGCTTACAGGAGCTGCCCTCACACCTACATTCAAGCTATAGATTGCTATTTTAGAGGTAATGCTAGCAGCTTCATGGCCTGTTTTTCAGTCTGTAGCAGGCTCAGCCAAATAGGTGTTACTCTGCTCCCCTACTTTTAAAAAGCCAAGAGTCCTGTAAGAAATGATCATTTTAACTTGGCAGAATTTAAAGCTAGTACGCCATGTAAGCAGTGTAGAGAAGAGATAAACACGTTTCTAATGAAAGTATAGAATGTGTATGTCAACAGGATAAATATTCTGTCATTAAAATGTTACTGTGGATACTCTGCTTCTGCAGACTTGTTTTCTCCGACTTACGTATAACTGGGATCTGGGGAAAAATTAAAACTAGGTTTTATGTGCTTTTACAAAATTTAATCAAGAGTTGCTTGTGTATTGTATCAGTATTGTGTTAGACTATAGTGGCTTTGCAACTGGCAGGATCGTGTGTGTGTGTGTGTGAGACACATTCTACACAGATTTTCTTAAGTCATTTATTCATAATCATTGTGTACAGTAAACATAAGCCCTATTAACTAGAGAGACTAAAATACTAGTACACTTTAAACTATTTTCTGTTTTTCCATTTTTTACTCACAGGCAATCTGGCCCAGGCTGAAGCAGTTGGAAGAGAGGCACTGGAATCAATACCTGATGATCACTCGCTGATGTTCTCCTTGGCAAACGTGCTGGGCAAGTCCCAGAAATACAAGGTGTGTAAACTGCAGGCCTTGATTTCTTGCCGTCAATGCCAGCACCTGTCAGGAGCTGTAAATGTCACTTCTGCCCAGTTAAATTCGGAAGCAGCCAAAACACTGGGACCCGGGCAGCAGCGCTGGGTGGTCAGCTTGCTTCTTGGAGAAGTTGCCCAAAAGGTGGATTTGTGGGGCCGAACTCCAAATCCTTCCTTATCAGAATTCACCACCAGTGTTCCAACCTGGAGAGGGGAGGAGACGCCCAAAGGGACAGTCACAGCTCGCGCCAGCTGAGATCCCCAGGCTCTGGTGCAAAGCTGTTCAGTCCGTCCTTTGCCTGTGGGCAGGGCTCTGGGTTATTTGTGGGTCTGTCTCCTGCACAGGAAAGATAACGGCCTGTGGAAAATGCAGGACTAGTTCTTGCTGCTTCCAGGTATTCCCTCATCTGGAGTTGGGTTATAAGTCATCTTCCAAGCCCTAGAGGTGTCTGACCGACGGAAACCACAGGGTATCCAGTCCAGGTGCTACGTGGGCTCCCAGGATGGGCCAGGACTAGACTGTGAGTCAGAAGGTGCATAGCTCCCTGTCCGTTGAAAGGGACTCTGTGCTTCTCGTACCAGTGACCTCAGACCGTGATTTTGAATATCAGAATCAGCGAAGGAGTGTTAGAATACAGGTGCCCAGATTGCTCCCCGCCAGAGATGCTGTCTCCCTCAGCTGGGTAAGGTCAGGAATATGCATTTTTCACAGCATCCTGGGTTTCTAACATAGATGTACAAGAAACACATCCGTGACTTAGTCCTTTAGTGACAAATATTTTCTGGCAGTATCAGCATCCGTGTCTGCCTTGGATCACGAGGCCTAAAGTTAGTGATGAACTCCTATTTGTCTCGTGTTATTTATCTTTTCTGTTCTGTTCATTAGATACCATTATCAGTATAATTTTCTCTAACAACAGTGAGGTATTTTGTGTGTGCTCTTCTCATTTTTGAAATCAGGAAGTTTAATAGCTTCAGTATACATGTTAACATTTCTAGATTTTGCTCCAGAGGTGACTTTTCTAGGGAGTTAGTGTTATTTTTTATAGGTCTCCTTGTGTAGTGCAGGAAAGGCGGTGAGGAGTGTGGATTTCCCTTCTGAGGACCTGCCCAACCTGAGGTGGGCCGTGTGTGTCCAGTGAGAAGCTACAGTGAGTTGTCTTCAAAAAGTGGCTCATTTATAATCATTGCATTGATTTTTCTACCATCCCACAGCATATCTGGAATTATGCTAAAGTGACAGAACCCGGGGTTTATTTGGCTTCTAGTTCACATTGTTCTTTTTTTTCCAGATAAAGTAGAGAATACCCTGTAGAGCAGAATAGAGAAGCGGGTTGCCCGTGCTCCACACATTTTGCATCCTACTTGTCTAGGCCGGGGCTCTGAGCCTAAGATAAGGGAAGAGAAAATGAACTCCAAAATAAGCAATCTCCTATGAGCTCTTCAGGAGGGACATGATGTTATTCCCCAAACCATGCTGTCAGCCACCAAGTACTTGCTGAATATAGATATATATATTTTTTTCTTTTTTAACTCAGGATTTTGAATTTTAAAAACTCTGTAGATTTTTCTCTTGTAATGCAATGGTGCCTGTTACTATTGGTCTGCTTCTCACAGCCTGTCCTTGCAAAGCCCTGGGTGGGGTGCTCTGGAGAGGTGGCACTGTGGTGGTGACTTGCAGGGGTAGGGTGAGCTGACTCTCCGGGCCGGCCATCATCCCCTCTAGGACAGGTGTCTCCTATCCTTAGCTGACTTCCTCCTAAGCATTGCTGTTTTATATTATTATTACCTTTCAGTGAATCTCTTTAGTGAGCCTGGAGGCTTCTTGAGGTCAGAGTCCTGAGACCCATTTTGGATATCTGCATGTGTCCAGCGTTCTCGTGGGCATTTTACCAAGTGCCCAGCTAGTAGCTCTAAAGTGGCTGGATGCATCCCACCATTGGCTCTAAAGCATTCAGGCTTCCAGAATCCCTTTGGAGACTTTGATGTGTGGAGCGAGGGTTCTCATGGTGTCTGTGTGATGAGGGGCACCTCGTCATCCGAGCAGCCCTTTGACCTACAGTAGCAGTCACTCACCACTCCTAGCTCAGCGTATCCAGCTGGAAAATGGAGATGGCAATATGCAAACATGTACAGCAATGTAATTTATAACTGTGAAATTATTTTATATGTATATATAAACACAACAGTAATTTTAGTTTGGTGATCATTAAATTAAACTCTAAGGATCATTAAAACCTATTCGAATTTTTATTTCTTATTGCCATTCAGTTCCCAGTTTGCACTAATGTGGCAGAGCAGAATATAGAATAATATTTTTCAGTGCTTCAAATGTTGCCTTTCATGCAGGTTCCTCTTCCTGTATCGCCTGTTCTGCCGGCCCTGGAGTCTAAGAGCAGATTGCATCTATAGAGCGGTTTCCGCAGCACCACACATTTATCCCATTCCTTCATTAGTTTTTTTTCCACATCTAGAATGACTTGTCTTATTTACCTGTTATCTTTCTTTAACTAGACCTTTAGCACAGTTCAGTGTATTTAAAGTTGGAAACATATCATTACTACAAATAGGAGGTCACTGAAAACAATAATCTTACTAAATCTCAGGGACATAGTGTTTCTGGCCAAGGCTCTGAGCCTGAGGGTTGCCCTCTCTGAGCTTCAGAGGGAGATTGGCAGGTATTAGAGGGGGTGACCCACAGGCCACCACCAAGCAGAGACTTCTGTCAGGACCACACCAGAAGAAAGGAGGGCAAATTGAAGAGAGAATGACTGCCTTCCTGGGTGATTCGTGGTTTCAACTTCATGTCAGACCACCCACGCCACCTTGCCTAGTTGGAGCGGTCTCCAGGGGAGGAGGGGGGTCCCTTGTTCTCACTGTACTCGGCTAGGATGCTGCCCTGGCGATGCCACGGTTCTACCGGCCAGCGTGGCCAAAACGACTGCCACCTGCCCAGACCTCTCGCCTGACATGAAGACCCTCTCCTGTTCTCTGCAAGGCCTTTCTCTCCCACGTGTTGCCCTACACCTCTGTCAAGTACATTTTCTCTTTATACTTCAAAATATAATATTATTTTCCCTTTCTGTTGACAAAAACATCCCCCAATTTTAATGTGAATTTCTTTCTTATCATAAATCAGCTCACTACCTAGTCTTTAGGCATTTCTACAACTCCAAAGAAGATCTGTTTATAAACAGTTTCTTACTCTCCGGAACAAGGCCATTAGAAAGCCTGATTTAATAGGAGAGCATTTCCTGGGCTTTGAATACCTACAGACATTTGTCCTAGAGAGGCCTACAGGCAGCCCTGCCTCCAGGGCCCTGGAGCAGTCCCAAGTGCCACGCACACGCATCCTCTTGGGGCTGCCCCTCTGTCACCACACAGTGTGTCTGACCCCCTCTCGCTTCCCCAACAAACTCGTTTTCCTCCTGACATGCTTCTTCTATCAACATGCCATCATTTCTTGTTTTCCAAGCTTGGAAAACATCTCCTTTTTTCCACCCCATTGCCTGGTTCATCCTCGACCCCATTCCCTCCCATGTGCCTTCTAGTGCCTCCCCGCACCCAGGGTTCACGCCCTGCCTTGGCAGGGACAGCAGCCCCCTGCACACACAGCCTGAACACCGCCACGTCCTCCAGACCTGACTGAGCCCACGTCATCCTGCGTGGTGCCCACACTCCTGAGCCTTTGAGAAATTAAATGAATCATGAAGTGAACCTTGCACCCTCTAGAGAACTCCTTCCTACCCTGCTCTTTTCTGTAAATCACATGTCTCTAGCCAACACTGCTTCATTTGCATGGAGAGGAGCAGTTTAAGTAGATTCAGATTCCCTGGCCTTCCTATTTCTCCAATTTTAGGTTGAACGGAAATGTTTGAAAATCATCAAAAACAGGGAATTTGCTGAAATCATGTGTGTTATCCCCATCTTTAGTTGGTTCCTCTCCAGTAACATTTCTAAAATGCAATTATTTCTCTACCAGCTTTATCTAAAAGGTTGTGGTTTCAGAAAGACTTGCCCAAATGCCCAGCCTGTTTCTCAGAGTACCACAGGCCATGATAGGGCAAGGAAACGGGTCTTCCTATACTTTATAAAATGCATGATACTCGGTGTGAAAACGCACCTGGAAAAACTCCCATAGGGCACAGACAGAAGGAGCAAACCTGTCCCCAAGCCACTAACTTCAGTTGTTTAAGCTGAGCACGTGATGCTCATTAAAGAGTGCTTGGCCCTTGAGGAACACGGATGTGGATGGTGTGAATGGCTGCATGTCAGTGAGAACAGTCAGAGGTCTTTATTTCTCAGCATCCTGATAGAAAGGGATCAGCCAGGCAGCCATGGGCCCATAACAATAAGGTAAGAAAACACTTGGCCATGCTTAGTGACCCAGCCGGAAGTGAGGACTATCTGGGGGAAATGCGAGGCCACACAAGAGCCAGTTCATGCGCATCGGGCGTCTTTGGCCACAGTCATGTACAGTACTGCAGCAGCTGAGAGGACAGGTGGCTCTCGTCCCCTCACTCTCCTTCCTCATTTTTTCCAGCGGAAGGGGCTGCTTCTGGGTTGCCGAGGGGATTGTGAGTTCTTGGGGGAGGTTAACTAGGCCCCAACCCTATCTTAGGGAATCCTGGAAATTAGTTTCTGATGCTGACTGAAAATGACCATTTCCTGGATGTCCTCAATAGCCTGACCCTTTCCTGATCTTTTGATGCTCCGCTGTGCCCTGTTGCTTGAAGTTGCAGAATTCCACCTGCTTCAGGGAGGCAGGTGGCAGAGCTCGTGAGCATATTCGCCCTCTCTCTGCAGCTGCCCACTTTCTCCCATTGCTTTCCACTGCCCCTCACCCCCTGCCCGTGCCTGTCACCTTTGCCCTGTCACACGCTGCCCCGATCCCCTTCAGCGCTCCTTGGGAGGGTGTGGCCCTGCTGGGCTTTTCAGTATTTCTGGGAAAAGGACGCTGTGGTAGGAAATGGGGATGTAACGTTTGAAGACCATAAGCAGCAGTGACTGCATGTCACCTTGGCATCGTGTGCAGTACCTTATTCATTACGTATTTCATTCCTTAGGAATCCGAAGCTTTATTCCTCAAAGCCATTAAAGCTCGTCCAAATGCTGCCAGTTACCATGGCAATCTGGGTAAGGAAACTCTTCAGTTGGAGTTGTATTGAAATCCTATGTAATTTTAATGAAATGGGTACATTTCTGCAAAGTCAATGTCGGGAGAGTAGTTTTTTCAAATCTAGCTTGTATTGGCCTCTGTAATCTGGTCCTAAAATGTGGGTTTTTTAAAGAAATCATTACATTGACGAGGCAGCTTAATGATAGTGCTGTTTCTAACTCTTAATTGTATTACCAAAACAACCCCCAGAATTCCCCACTCAATGTGTCGCCCCCTTATGATAAACTCAGATTTTCTTTCTTTGTATGAAGGATCCTAGGATGTTAAATGAGGTCCTTTGGAAGTTTGCAGTCTCATTTCAGTACCTTTCCCTGCTTCCGTAGTGCATCTTCTGTTACAACCTGGCTCCTCTGTGTTCTTGTGCTCTCTTATGCCGTGGCTAAAAATGCATTTACAATTATTTATCCCCTAGAATTCTTTGCTTCCAATTTTAGGTCTCAATAATTAAGACTTGTAGAGCATAGCATGTTGATGTTTAAAATGCTCAGTCATGTGAATTTTTCACCAAATCTGTTCCCTATAGACTCCATAGCTTCTTATCATGAAAGTCATGAAGCATTAGTAGTTGCTCTTAAGCCCATGTAGAAAGTTAGTTTTACTTACAACATCACCATACAAATCAGAGGCTTTACCATTCTAATAGTCAGATTTACTTTAACTATCATTTCATGGTCAGAGCTTGATGTTAGAGCCCTTCTTTCCAGGTAGTAAAAAATAAGGTATTATTTTGCCAAGAGGTGCAGAGGAATCTTTATTTAAAGTCAACGCTGCACTTCTGCCGAAGTCAGGGCTCTAAGCAGTGCGGGAGCCCAGGCCTACCCTGGCTTCCTGGATATTTCCTGGCAGCACTGGGAAACTTAATGCAGCCTTCCCTTTACTTCTTTATGCAACAGCGTCGCTGTAGGAAGGTGGATCATGCCCAGTGATACGAAGAACTCCAGGAATAACTGGAGGTTGTTAACAATCACCAGGGAGTGTGGTTACAGTAAACAGTTTGCAGTACAAACGATATTATTTTAAACAATTTTTGAAAACTGCAGAGATTCTATACTGTTTCTTTGTACAAATGCTGGGAATACTGCAAGTTATTCAGAAACATTTCCAATGAGATTCATCTCTTGCTATTACAGCTGTGCTTTATCATCGCTGGGGACATCTAGACTTGGCCAAAAAACACTATGAGATCTCCCTGCAGCTCGACCCCACTGCATCGGGGACCAAGGAGAACTATGGTCTTCTAAGAAGAAAGTTAGAACAAATGCAGAAGAAAGATGTTTGATCCTTTTTCCTTCATTTTTTGAGTCTGTGTGCATGAGTCATATCCTAGTATCATGTGGTTATGTTTAACCATTTAAAAGTCTTAATGTTTATTTGATTCCACTCTTTTTCTATGAAAACAAAGACATGCAAAAAGATTATAGCACCAGCAACACAGTCTTGAATGCTTGATGTGGTTTTTGCATTGAAATTGTATTTTTTCAGACAACTCACATGTGCATTCTAAATCCCCACAATGAACTCTTTTTTAATTAAGAAGAAGAAGAGAAAAAGATGATACAGAGCGACTTGCCACAGATTAGACGTGCATTTGGGATGTGAGAGGTGTTGTGTAAAGACTAGCGCTATTAAATGTCAGTTGTGAACCGCAAAGACAAACTGACTCCTACAATTTATATAAATGTTGAATGTGTCTGTATATTAGAATTTTTATTTAATGACAAGAAAGAGTAAAAAGTAAGATTTTTGGTTTTGTCTTCTTTTTTTAAACAATATCCTGTGAAACTTCATCTATCAGGAAATATATTTATTTGTACATTACATTTTGAACAGGGCAAATAATGGGGTAAGGAATGGAAATTTTAACATCAGTATATTTATTTATTTCCCCCCCATAGGAAGAAATTCACTGCTGCAATATTTCTTGGATTCTCCAACTTGTGCAGTTTCATAACATAGCAAATTATATAGTATTGCACATAAACCATCACTATTAATAGAAAATTCAAGCCATGCTTTAGGCAAAAGCAGGCAGCCTGATGTCTTTGTATTTGTTATATTAGTATTAAGAGGGCTACATATCAATGTACATTGTTTTTTTATGTCTTTGACTATCAAGCAGTTTTCCATTTGGCTTAACAAAACTACAGTCACTTACTATATCTGGAAAATGCAAGAGGTCAAATTTCCCTCAAATGGAGCCACATTGGAGAGCTTGTGGTTTTTTTTTAATTGGATTTTTTTTTTGAGCAGAATAATCATGTTTGTTTCATTCTTCTATATATGTAGTTAATGATTTATGCAATCTCTGTTCTTATGCAGTAAAATTATCACATAAACTGGCATAAAAATGCTGTATCACCTTCTTAATGGATGATTTTCAAGTGAGTGAACTTTGTGTCTTCCTTTCCCTTAAACTGAAATCAAAGTGACCAATTCAGTCTTTCTAGTATGTGGCTTCTGTTTGGTTTTAGGGACCATTTAAAAGAATTGTACTGTAGAATTATGCAGGTTTAGAGAATGGGATGAGTAGATATCACATTGAGATAAATTTGATTCTCTACACTCACTATTTTGAGGGCAGATCTACACAGAGTTGTAAATCAGTAATTGTACCATAGGATGGTTGAAGTACATCAGAAGAGAAAGGGCTGTTAGTTGACATACATCAGAAAAGAAAGTGCTGTATTTCAAATATGTCCCAAATAGTCTCAAAATAACAGTAATAATTTACAGATCTCTTAGGGGCAGGAGCTGTCTTCTCATTTATGTTCCCACAGTGTGTAACTTGGCAGATGCACTGTGTGCTTTTCTTTTTTTTTGAGCAAATTTCTTTAGAATGGTACTTGTCTTTTAAGAGTAAAGAAAAACCATTTCTTGTAAAAGCCCCTTTACGATTTGTTTTTTATTCTACTGATACTAAAACTTCAGTGTCAAATCAAGACATGCAAATCTGGGACCCCTGCCTACAGAAGGAATCCCTAAGCTTTCACTGCTTCTGTCTCAGGGTTTCCATTGCAGCTGTCTTCTTTCCAGAGAAAACAGTCATTAACTTGGGGATACTTGGGGAGGTCTCTCTGCAGATCTTGGAGGCACGCCATGCTGCTGCTCTGCCTTCCTCGTCCTTCTTGAGGCAGCCACTCATTATCTCTTGGGTTTCTTTCCCGACAAGGTGGATGTGGAAGGCTGTCCCAGTCCCCCCTTATTTGGTATCTGTCTTATTTTAATGTTTTTATTTCTTACCACAGTAGTGGGTAGGGCAGGGGGTGTCAAACCGAACATGAGGGCAGTTACCAGTTTAAGAAATGTGAGAGTGGGTCATCACCCTTCACCTCCTGACAGCGTCCTGAAACCCCTGAGCGGGTTGGGGTTGTATTTTGTTTGTTTGCTAGGTTTACTCCCTGTTTAGGTGCAGTATTACATTTACTTCTTAAAAATGTCATCCTGGAGACATTGGCTATTATGCCTACACGGGGTTCTTTGGGGTTCTGATTCGATCATATTCCTTAAGCATGGTCTTTACATTTTATTTCAACTATGGACCAAAAATGTCATCCAGAATAGAAAACCAAGCCCCTCAGCAAAGCATTGGGCATCTATGTCCATATTCATATCCATCAGCTCAGACTTTGAGGTAAGAAAACATCAATTTGGATCCTGGATCTCCCACTGTGATGTCATAGGGAAGTCACTTAGCACCGTTTTTAGTCCCTCCTAAGACTACCCCCAGAGTAACGAGGTGCCTGGCCAGTAGTTCCTCAACAAATGATAAATTGGATTTTTGGAGGAGGGTGTAGATTTTGCAGTAGACGGATTTGACCTTAATCATATTCATTCTCTCATTCTTTCAACAAGTACAAGGCCTACTCTGTGCCAGATCCTCTCCTGGGCACTGAGATACATGGGTGAGTGCAAGTGCCTTTACACAGCAGGTAGTGCAGCAAGAGTCATGTGATTAATAACAACTGGGAGACAATCTAGCCTGAAGAGTCAGGAAAGGAATTCCTGAGAAGGTGACTTTGGAACTGAGATTTGAGAGGAAGAGAGGAAGACAATTGCTCTAGACCAATAGTTCTCAGCCAGGGGAGGTTCTGCCCACCAGGGGACAGTTGGCAATGCCTGGAGATGTTCTTGGTTTTCACATCTGATTAGGGGAGAGGGGTGCCACTGTACCCCCCAACAAAAAAATGATCTGGCCCAAAATGTCAGTGCTGAGGTTGGCAAAACCTGCGCTGTGCATGCAGAAGAAACCACACATGCAAAGGCCCTGTGGTGAGAAAGCTCATGTGGTTGGTGAAACAAAGTCTAAGGAGAAGGAGGAGAGACACTTGATGGAGTTGGTAAATGTGCCTAGAGCCAGGTTATGCCAGGGTTGCAGACCAGTCTTTAAACATAGAAGGATTCAAAGGAGGGGGCGGGAGGGACATGATCAAATTTCTGTTTTGAAAAGATTACTTTGGCTGTTGATGGGGAAGAAATCAGAGGGAGGTAAAGAAGACATGAGCAAACCAGTGAAGAGACCATTGCATGTGGCCAAGGTGGGGAGGAAGGTGGCTTGGTGTGGCCAAGTGGCTGTGAAGCTGGAGGGATGTGGACTGACCTGAGAGATATCAATGGGTGATGGACAGGAGATGGATTGGTGGGGGAATGAGAGGTGTTAAGGTTCATCATACAGTTAAGCACAGACAGAAGCCATTGTGAGGAAGAGGCTGCCTGTAAGCTCCAGAGAGTGTAATATCCTGGAGAAGAAAGGAGTCAGGTAGAGATTAGCCCTAGAAAAGTGCAAAAGCCCCTGTATAGTACAAGGTCCAGATGGAAACAGATGTAGACACATCTGTACATTCAAACAGTTGGCCAAACCCCAGGTGCAGCATTAAGTAGTTATAGTTCAAGAATTTCAGCCTTTCTGAGCCTCAATTTCTTCCTACAAAAATGCAGGTAATGGTGGCTAACCTGCAAGATTGCTGTAAAGATTAAAGTTAATAGAATAAAATGTCCATAGCTGCACTGTTCAATAGCATGGCCACTAACCACTTGTGGCTACTGAGCAACTGAAATGTAGCTCATTCGAATTGAGATGTACTTTACATATAAAATATATGCTGAAATTTAAACTTGGTATGGAAGAATAATGTGAGATACCAATTTTTGTAATGGTCATGTTGATATTTAAATATACTGGGTTAAATAAAATATAAAAATTAATTTCACCTGTTTAATGTGGCTGTTAAATTTAAAATTACATGTGTGGCTTGCATTGGTAGCTCACTTTGTCTAATGGGCAGCACTAGGTTAGAGGGTAATATGAGTTGAGTAAATGGTACCTACTCAGCAATCTAATTCACTTTCTTCAAAGAACATCTACTATATCTAATTATTGCCATCTAGTCAATTTTAAGAATGTATTGGTTATCTACAAGGTCTATGTTTCTCTTCGTTGTTCCTAAGGCTTTCCTAAGTGGACCAGTCAAAAGCCCTTCTGAAACCTGGACACAGCGTGCCTGTCAAGATTACAAGGTTCCCAAATAGCCGTAGCTGAAGAGGTAATAAATTCTTCTCTACAGACTAATTAAAGCTAATATATGTTGAAGGAATAGCAATTAAAAACTTATCTTTTTTTTTGGTACCCAATGAACTATTGATTTAAAGATCAGCAATGAATAAAACCATTAGATGAAAGGTCAGTGGAAAAGTTTGCAGTGGAGGGCACCAGGCTTCACCAGCTGAATCCACTGACCACTGTTAGCATCAGTAAGAATGGGACCCCAAGTATAATGTGCTTCCCACTGTGATATAAGAGAAGTATACAAAGTTACCTAAGGTGCATCTTTGCAAAAAATAAAACAGTTCAACCTGAATCTAAGCAACATTTACCTTCTTTGTTCCCTAAGTGTAAATAAAAACCTGAAAAATGCTGAATGACTTTTTTTGAAATCTTTGATAATACATAAACAAATGTTCATGTACACAGTGTACTAGCTGCTGGGGATACCATGGGAAACGAAGACAGATGGGATGGCTGCCCTGTGGACTCCAGTCCAGGTAACGTCAGCCTTAATGTGAAGCCAGACTGGACAGGCTGGTGTAGACATCAGGGAGTAAGTGTGGTTACCAGCGCCCTTTCTGCGGCACTTCATGTCTTCCACATTTGCAGCTCTCCAAGTGTAACAGGCTGTCAGGCACTTCTCTCCTTCTGTGTGGAAAATTCGCTGGCAGTTGGTGACTCTGTTTTTCCTAGAGGCAGTGAAATAGGTATAAGTCGAATTTTCTGTCGACTCTGTAGGAACATATTAGTTCAGGTGCCTCTCCTTTGACCTCATGGGAAAAGCTTCACGAGGCACCCAAAGACATGGACACTTACACTCAAGCATGAATTCCACTGAAGGACCAGCTGCATTGCCCACAGCTGAGAGGAAATGGATGCACTCACCTTATTGACCCAAATACAAGGATCTCAAGAGTTGAGTAGCCCTGATTTTTAGTAAAGTGGAACATTTACTATTACTTGAAATACTCATTAATAAATACCTGATATCATGGAATATTACTGCCTCTTTTTAAAATCCCACAGTCGACTGTACAACACAGAAAAGACAAGTAGTGATTCTATAGCTCATGGACAGTGACTGTAATAGGGTATGTGGTGGAGACTTGATAATGGGGGGAGTCTAGTAACCATAACGTTGCTCATGTAATTGTAGATTAATGATACCAAAAAAAAAATCCCACAGAGTCATGTCTTAAATGA